CTACCAATTATCGGTATATGGTCAACTAACAGGAAGTTTGACAATGTACACCAAAAATTAGATGAGTAAATTCACATTTAGACCAAATTAAATGAATAATTCAGCCAAATAATCATAAATAAATCGTACACCAAATGGTTCCTATTGTATACGTTTTATCAGTGTGATTCTGTCGTTTGAAGGGTAACAAACACTTCCCCACATCTCTTATATTTTATGGTTTTTGGTGGTTGGAACTTTATCCCCGGTCCTTTTACGATGCACCAAACATTAGGGTTTTCAGTGGAAACATTTATTGTACTACGACTTACGTTGCTCATTCAATGTTTTATTATCCGAGTCTGTGTGCATGCATGAACTTTGCCAAGCCGTCACACCACGACACTGTTTTGACCCACCACCGCAACCCACCCGGCCACCAGCAGCGACCTTTGATTTCTATATTTTTCTTTTTCTTTTTGGCATTTTTGTTTTGGGGTTAGTGCCTTGGTGGTCTGTTATTGGCTAAACCATTGATTTGAACGACATGCACAAATCGAGCCAGGGTGAGCCATATATGGAAACGCATGATATGTGTACATTATAATGATATTTTGTATCAATGAAAGGAGGACATGCAAACAAAAATTTATAGATCATTTTATTGTATTGACATGAAACATCACTGTTGCGATGTCCTAATGCCGGCCTACAGTCGTTCTCTATCATATATGGAGGGTAGACCTGGCACTCGTGTCGTATTTTCCATGTTCGTGTCGTTTTCGTGTCATAACCGATATCTTAACGAGTCGCGTCGTGTAACACCCGTTAAAATAAACGGATAAAATGACCCGACCCAAAATCGATCCAATAATATTAACAAGTAATATGACCCGACCCGTTACCCGTTAAGAAAATATATTTTAAACCAATAATAATCAAATGAAAAACATAATACTAAATAAGTATATACATACCATATTGTCACATCCAAAACATAAAAACACAATTTTCTTTTAAGTATATATTTACATACCCAAAATAAGAGCATAATAAAAAAGAGAATTGTTATTAGCACTCCAAAAATCTCATTCTATACTTCAAACTTTATATATTAGGAATAAAAAAATACTCTTGTGAGAAGTGTAGAATGAAATTTTTGGAGTGCCAATAATACTTCTCATAAAAAAAGCATTAGAACATTACAAAATACCATAGCCTTACAAGCTGCAGGTCAACAGGATTTGGAATCATAAACCCACATGTTCTTCACTAACCCTGATCTTCCTTTTCGTATCCTCTCTCTGATCGAACTCTCTCTAGACCTCTTTCTTTCTTTCCAATTCGACAAGATATATAAATACGCATCCCCATTCTAGGCTTCCCAAAATCCATATCCTCATCCTTTTTAACCTCTAAATTCCCTCCCCACAATGAATCTAAATCAACATCATCAGGCAATTCAAAGTACAGTAAAACTTTGTTCTTGCAGAGATCGATTAAAGTAGTAACAGAACTTAAAATGAAAAAGCAGTAACGAAACTTATTCAGGAAATAGCCAAAGTCTTACATATTTTTCATCCAAGTAAATAGCCAAATTAAGAGGCAAAATCGAACCTGGAATGGAATTTGGATAATGGAGATGCAGATATGTAGAGACGACCAGAGATGACAAGGATGATTTCGTCCACTGCACGAGGGATGGATGGGGAGAGAGGGTACGGGAGTGGGGAGAGAGAAACGGGATTAGGGCTTTTTTTGAAATTGTAAAATTGGAAAATAATGGAATAGAGAAGGGTTTTTTCGTCCAAAAAAGTTCTAATCTAAGTGAAATAGAATCCAACAGACATTTACTCTCATTTATCTTACGGCTGTTATTTAAGTAAAGTCTTTAATAGTTTTTTAATTAATGTAGAAGTGTAAAAAATGTAGAAAACATATATAAACGCTCATAATGACAAACTTTACAACTTTTGTGAAGAGCTTAACTTTGAAATTCGCCATTATAATCATATAAATCATAGATCAAATTTTAACAGTTGATTGTTGTTTACATTTACGCTTCATTTTTCTCATCAATTTTTTTTTTTTTTTCGGATTTTCTTTTTTGAAAACATGATCTATTAGAAGATGCAGGAAGATGAACGGTTTGGATCGTTGATATGATGTTCAGAGTTTTACGGTTAGTGAAAATATTGCTTGATGTTTATAAAGTTTCTACAAACTATATGACATCAACTCATATTTCAATTAACCGTAAATATTAAAACGTGATATCAAAGATCTGAACCGTTTATCTTCTTACATCCACCAGATGATCATGTTTTCAAAAATGAAAATTTAAAAAATGAAATTCAGTAAGAAGAATAAAGCGTAAATGACAATTGACGGTTAAATATAAATTTAAGGTTTATGGATTATAGTGTTGGATTTCGTAGCTGACTCCTTCATGAAAGTTGTAAAGCTTTTCACTATGAGTGATTTGTTTTTTTTTTTTTTTTTTTTGTTTTTTGACATTTTTTACACTTCTACAATAATTATTATTAATTTTATTAATTTTGCCCTCAAATAAAGAACATTATTCATGAGGGTTTGGAGGATTTTAAAAATCTAAACGATAATATAAGCGTAACCATTATCTACTCGTGGAGGAATAATGATGAATCACGAGTGTTTATATATTCTTTTACATTTTCCATACTTGTATGTATGTCTTCTTAGTTCTTGCCTATACAAATACTATACTAATTTATTTTAATTTTGGACAACAACATGTTAAGTAAAATTTATCCTAGTAATGATAATAAGGAACTCTCATAATAAAAATAAATAATGACTAATTTTTTTTAAACTTATATAGAATAATAATACAAAACTATATATTTAATATAGAATATATTGTCTATATTAATATGGCTATTGTATTTTATAATAAATCTTGTAGTAGTTAAACTTTAAAATTATCAAAATAATTTTTTTCTTAACAGGTTGAAACGGGTTACCCACGTGTATAACCGTTAAGAACTTGTTATTAATGGGTTCTTAACGGCTCACCCGATAATGATCCAATTAGTTATCGTGTTGATCCGAAACCCGTTATTTTCATATCGTGTCAGAAACTGCTGGGTCTATATAGAGGGCATTTGATTTGTCAGAAAGAATATATAGACTGGGAGGGAAGGAGAGGAGTTAAAACTTAGAAAACATAGTGGTGTGTGGTTGGTTGTGTAGGGTAAAATTAGGATATGTATACAAATGATTATGGATTGGATTTAGTAAGGATGCTGCAGACATTATATTATTATTATTATTTATTTATTTTTAAGAGTACGTATGTATAAAAAAGGGTTTAACAGCAACAATTGATAGTACTTGTGGTCCTTACTTGATTTAACGACCACATTTTCTATCTGATAATATAATTACCTGGCTAATAGCATAAAATCACGTCACTTTACAAATCTTGAAATACATTTCCTTAAGCCAATTTTACCGAGCTGGAGGCCAACCGTGTCAGTAATGTTTGGGAGACGAAATTTGCAAACTAAATGATGTGTCACCAATAAGAAATGAATACATTTATCAACACTAAATAATCCAATCATCAACATCCATATCATTTAGTTTACAAAATTTAGTTTATAAATTTAGTCTCTATAACATTACTCCAGTTCAAATAGGGGCTGTCATAGGAGAGAGATAAAACGAAAGAGGGAGAGAGAGAAAGGAGAATGACAGAAGTGTTGGTCGCGCGGAGTGGGTCAATCAGCTCTTCTCCTCGCACGCTTGGGCCTTCGAGTGATCGGACCTTCTTCGGTAACCTCGAAGACCCTTTGGGCCTGGAGTTTTAGCATTATTGTCTGGTCTCTCTTTGGGACTAGTTCCAAGTCTTCTTATGACCTTTGATCATTTCGGCACAAACAGAGGTCTTCCAGTTTTATCAATGTGGAGGCTACAAGAGGGCCTGGCCACCTGCGTGCATTACTCACAACTTTTTAAATCTTATTTGTGTGATCGACGCTCAAAATTGCACCAAGTATCACTCTGATTTTAATTTAATCTAAGTAAACCAATTTTTCGACTGAATTTGTCAATTATGTGATGTGTCACAATTAAAAAATAAGTAGGTTAATCAATACTTAAGCAATAATTCAATCATCAATAACCACGTAATATGATTTAAATAGATGATCACCCTAGCATTATCCTTTCTTGAAACTTAAAATTTCAATGAAAAATCTCTAGCTAGTGTACCACCTAGCAATGAGTGGTATGAAAAGTGAAAATGAAATTCATTGTTTACAAATTAATGAATTGGAAATAAAATATTTAAATAATTGCGAAAATCAAACTTGACGGTAACTCCTGATACTACATAGCATTGAAGCCGCCGCCTAGTTCTTTCCTCAAATTTACCTAGGAACTATTTATCAAACTATTTTAACTTTGCATTTAGCTAGTGTCTCGGAACATGAGTTCTAAATCTTTCCAGCTGAAATGGCAAGCCTGGTGTTTTGTTAGGGTTCTTGCAAATGCTATTCCGGGTGGCTTTGTGAAGGCCAATGACTCTGTCAAGACCAACTAATATTAAATTGTTCATAACTTGTTCAATTTCAAGAGACTTTCCCATCAACCAGAATATACGCCACCAAGTATCATAATTCAAGCGGAAAGTATAGCTTTCAATGTTTCTCATGAAGTACCGGGTTGTATTTCGGCTACCCTGCAAAATTTCTCCAATTTCAAATGTCTAAAGAGGAAGTATGCTTGAAACAATTAAATTGGATTGAATTCAACAAGCAAATATGTTCATCATCCGATCCAGTTATGTCAGTTCCAGAAGTCACAGATCCACTCTAATCAGCTGAATACCAAGAAAAATAAAATTGGTTTTGGTTCGATTGGATTGGATCCCAGAAAAACCATCAGTTTCGTAGTGCTAAAGAATTGAATGCATGCATTTAAAAACGAAAAAGAAGGTGCAACATATAAGCAAGGAACTGATGGGGATGCTAAAAAGATGAGAAGAAATCATTGAAACACTTGCTTGGTGATGAACATTTTCTTACATTTTCATCTTTCATAAAAACAAAAGCTGTTCCTGCCACATCTAACAAAACCCTAGGGTCAGGTCATGATAATAATATTATATTAAAGCGTCACCAAGTCTTTTTTTCACGAAAAACATCTTCGAGCCATTCCCAAACTAAACTTCCATCAATACGATATAAGCAAGTAGCACCAACAGCAGATTACTATGGAAATAAAACCAAAACCAACCATCGACGCTTTATGAATTTTGATTCTTCACTCACAATATACTAATTGCCAAGCGGCGCCCCTCCTTCCTCCTGAACATTCACCAGCTCATATTCCACTAAAGAGAGATTGTTATCCTCCTTGACTACAAAGTTTGCAGGTTCAGTGACCTCAATACGTCCCCATTTATCAACTGCTAGCCTCATCGATCCCTTGAACATGTCAATCCTTGCATTGCGGAGAATTACAGTTGCACCAAGCTTCATCAAGTCAACTGGGCAAACAACAAGGTAAAACAAGATACACTAAACGGGAATAATCATTTCAGCAAAACACATTTATTAAGAAACAGCGAAACTGCGCTCAGTTGTATGATAACCTTCATAGAATTTTACAGTAAACGAAACTCCAACTTATACATGTTCGCATCATATACAAAAGAAAAGTTGCGATACAGTGAAATTTATTTCCATTACATTTTTCTACACAATGTGCAAAATTAATTAGATTAATATATTAGTTCAAGTAAACATAAGGTAGATTGATCAAAGTATCAACAAACTTTACAATAAGGGTACCTTACATCAAGATAACAAGATGCCTGTCTCTAACTGATGAAGGATCTATGTGAAGTGCAAGAATTGCTCATCTCTTAAGCCTAATTTCCTAAACTATATTTCTAAGTTGAACAAACTCAACTACTAAAATCCAGAACATCAAATCTCCATCATTTCAAAAGAAGATTCCACAAAGGTCCCGTCCCAATAAATAAGGTCTCTGTAGAAATCATTCCATTATACTTTTCACAGTACTTAAACGAGACACAATCTCATCAAATTCAAAAACATTAATCACAAGACAATATTCTTGGTTTCATATGCTTTGCACGATATGTAGAATCAACAAAATAACATAAGAAGAGCACCTAATCTCCAAACTTCATTTCGCCAAACATTTAAAGAAACACGTCAATGCGCCTATTCTTAATATTCTCTTCCTTTATGATTTCAACACCCTGTTTGTTCTACCTTACCCATATCAAGTCCACCAAATTATTGAGCATAAATCTATTTTATTTATTTAGATTTCTTTACATAGTTTAAATTTTTTAAAGCACCACTGTCAACAGATATTCTAGAAACAAAAGCAAACTAAGGGCCTGCTTGGAAATGCTTCTCTTCTAAGCACTTTCATTGTGGGTCAATTAAAATTTTTGATCAAAAATTAAGTGTTTCCTAGAAAAGCACTTGAAGGTATTCCGTGAGGAAGCACCTGCTTGGTGCCACTCCAGAAATAAAAAAATACAAACCATAATCAATTTCACCTTCTTTTGCCAAACAATGCCAGCATAAAACTTAACAATGCAGACAAAAACCTTATCCCACTAAGCGGGGTCGCTGTATGAATCCTAAAACTTAACAATGCATAAAGCATCTCACTTCATTCAAACCTGTTAAAACATCACCAAATACCGGCAAAAAGAATAAACAATGCACAACTCTTAACTTTTCTTCAATAATTTCGAAAGATGTTAAAAAAAGCAATAACTAATAAGTAGATTTCTATAACTAGCATAGATAATTGTTGCAATTTTTTGCACCCAAGATTAACAATTAGGTTCATCTGAAATTTTTTACAACGAAATGAAGCCGCATACAATGTGCATAGCCTACTTAATGTCTAAAACCATTTTCTCTAATTCATTTGAGTTTCTCTTTTCTTCCGTAACTCTGACCATCAAAAGCCATTAATCCTAATGCACCCTTTCTTTCTGGCACCCTATCCATTTTTCCAGCAACCAATACAGAAACAAATAAATCAGTAAACATAAACATACCCAAAAAAATATGTACACACAACAACACACAAATGAATCAAACCAATCAGACAAATAAAGTCAATTTCTCACAACCCAGACAAACAAAACACATAAATCAACTTTCCCAAACAAACAGTAAGAAAAAGCCCCAATACCTTGATCGTTCCTGGCAGTGAAGAGAATGGTTCCAGTCTCGTCCCCAATCAAGCACTCAGAGATTCGAGTCTGGCGAAGGTGCTGCGACACCGATCGGCCCTTCTGCAGCACAGGGTTCGAGCTCAGGACCTTGGCGACGAGCGTGTGGCCGCTGGTCTCCGGCTTGAGCAACTCGACCTTGGTGAACACGGGCTTCCTGAGACCAGGCTTGGCATTGCTCTGCTGGGGTGTCTGAGACGGTGCCGTTTTGGTGGACGTCGACATGGCTTTCAAGTCCAAAAACCCTAAACCTAACCCTAAAATCGAAAGTCCAGGGAAATGGATTTGTATGTGTTTTGATCTCTCTGTGCGACTCTCGCTCTCTTCTCTGCTTGGCGTTTTGGTGTGCTTTTATTTCTGCTATTGACTTTCTTACTTGACCATAAAAGAAAATAAAAAAATAAACATAAAGACTTTGTGACGTTTCGTTTTCTACCATTTAACTTGTGACTCGTTCTTAATGTTACGATCCAATAATATTTTTTTTAATTTTAAATAAAAAAGTTTAAATTTGATTTTTAATAAAAACGAATTTAAATCATATTATTATTAAATCTTTAAGAGATTAAGTCTATTGTTTTGTTAAAAAAAAAAAAAAAAAAAAAAACTCATGACTCGCTAGTTGTTGTGACTAGTGAGTCTCAGTTCGTGGGGTTTGTGACTCTTCCGCTACCGCTCACCTTTAGGCTTGTTTAGTATTTGGGCCTAATTTGAAGCCCAATATTGCAACCAATTTAGAGTCCAAGGGGTATCCTCTTTTTTTTTTTTAACTTTTATTGGAGCCCAAGGAGTCCTTATCATCAAGAAAGTTGACCCACACCCCCGAGGCCCCAACTCCAAGTCTACATTTATGAATTTAAATTCTGTGTGTTACAAGAAGATGTTTTGGTTTGCAAGTTGTGGTTTGTTCAGATGGTTAGGGCAATTTTCTTCAACTTATTGTGTTTAGGGTATAAATCTTTCTTCGTCTCCTTAGTGTAGTTTTGAGTAGAAAAAATCAGAAAGATGATTTGATTTTACTATCAACAAGGAGAGGTATTCGAACATAGAACCTTTTTTTTTTTTTTTTTTTTTGGGACAGAAGAACTTCTGTTAATGTAGAATTGGGAAGTGAAGAGAATGGGCTACTGGGCAACACCTAGGTTAACCTAACCTAATATCATGAAAGTTGATAGTAAAATTAAATGACAATATAAAGTATAACTAAACTTTTTTATAAATACATATAAGATTCCTTAATTATTCGATATAAGATTTACACTCTCAACACGATTATGTCGAAATTTATAACGTTTATCACTAAGATCAACTCCAACCCTTGGACCCAAACCCAAATATTTAGGTCTACCAAAGGCAGAATTTAGTTTTATGAATCGTGAATGTCACCGATACCGCATGACCTAAATTTCAGGACGTAAAGTCTATTAGTTGTTGTGGATTGGTTTTAACCCTATTTTTTTTTTTTTTTTGTAACTTTGAGTTATGTTATCTTAATTTAATTTTAGAATATTTTAACCTAAAAAAAAAAAATTAAATCCAACAAAATTTTCTAAACCGAACAATTCACACCAAGTTCTAACCAACCACTCAACTAATTTATTTTTTACCGTTGGATCAAAATCCTTAAATTGCCAAAAATGAACTTAATTTGGACCTTTGATCCTCAACGGCCAAAAATCGAAAGACCATTGAGACCCCTAAAATGTAAACGGTTTGTATCTACGCCCCTTGCTAATTGGGGCCCAGCTGTTGACCAATATAATTCATTAGCAGCGTTGCTTTTGAAAAAATGTGGAGCCCCCAAAACTTTAGGTTAGCCGAATTTGAATTTCAAAACCAATTTTTTTGAATTTATGTCTCCCTATTGAATTGCAAGTTTAAACCCAAATATTGGGTTTGAGTCTCCCTCCTAAAGTTGGTCTAATGAACAACTGTAAGGCACTGAAATTTCACGCACAGTTTCATAAATCAACCAGTAGCATTTTTGAACATTGTGAAATTAAACAAAACAGTAATCACGTGCATACATCGTTTTTGATAAGTGCACTAAAGAAATGTTAGGGAAATTCCGTCAAAAGTGAGACTCTTTGTTATATTATCGTTTTTGTACAATGTATTATAATGTTGATACGAGAATTATGTTAAAAAAATAAAATAACAAAAAATTCATAAAAAATCTCCTTAGCATTTTTCACGTCAACTAATGAATAATATTATTTTGTAGACTTGCCGTTGTGCGTACGTTTTTTAATCGCACGATATTAGATTTGTTAAATGGGGCCGTTACGTCTGGCGTGAGGCGTGGAGGTTGCTGTCGTTTGTCGGGTAAAAAGTCATAAAGGACGGGCTGCAAATGCCATCACTATCATGTGTGTGGATTGGACTTCCCCAAATAAAGCCCAATTAAAGGAAAGTATAAACCCTAGCTGGCAGCCGACCAAACAACGAAGTGGCCACACAATTATATAAATTCGAAAGAAGGGTGCCCCTTCGATGCCCTGAAACCTTATCTCTTGCATCCAAGATTTAGATCTGACGTTGCAAACTTGAAGAAATCTTTCTCTCTTTCTCAGTTTATCTGCCGGTGTTTATGTTTCTTTGAAGGCATCTGCGGGGGACGAGATGGTACATCCTTGGCCAGAGTATTTTTCCCCGGGTCATCAATCACTGCAAGTCACTGGTTTGGAGGACGACGCAGAAGTTGCAGATTCATGGAAGATTTCCGAGGACATGGTATGTAAGTTTGGGATTTCAATATTGGGAGTTAGTGGCATCGGTAAAGTTCTATTTTCTTGTCGAGAACGTAGAAAAGAGCTGGGAGTTGTTCTGCAATGAGTAACTATAGCTGTTTTTTACATATTTCTCGAGAAAGTCGATATGTGAGCAAAATTAAGGGAGGGGAAAGAAGCTACAAGATTATTGAACGGTATGATGAGTAAAAATATTTTTTTAAATATTCACACCTTCAATGTCTTGGTAGATTTTGCAAGGACGATTGATTGGTAAAACAAAAAGTGATATTGAAATGATGATTCAAAGAGATATGATTAAGATCTTTTTGACAATAACTTTATGTGCTCACTATCTGTCACAATAGAAAAAAAAATTTTGTATTTGATTTGGAGGATTGGTCATGATGCTGCAAATACGGATGTATATTTGTTTCATTGTAAAGCCTAGAAATGTATTAATGAAGCGATTGATTTATTCTAGATATGTAATAAGGGTTAGATGTATATTTGTTTCTTTGTAAACCCTATTAACGTATTAATGAACGTGTTCTGGTGCGATTTTATTTATCGTGATAAGTCTTCCATGTTTTGGCTCATGGCTGTAAGCAGAAGCAATTTTTTTTCTTTATTTTTGGCGCATCGACATTCCACCATCAAATCAAAAGAAATATGAATGTGCATATGAACGTTAATTAATTACTTTAGAATGAATGCCTGCCCGCGAAATTTTGTTTACGCAGTCCGACTCGTAGAAAGTGCGTAAACACTGAGGTTGCATCGAAGGGGGCAAGTTTCTGTCTCGTAGAAAGTGCGTAAACACTGAGGTTGCATCGAAGGGGGCAAGTTTCTGTTTAATTAGATTGATGTTGTTCATCGGCAGATCTATATGTTGGAGGAGTTGAAACTTTTAAGCCTTGAAGGAAATGTTTTTGCACTGTCAGAATCATACTGATACACCAGACATGCCTTGGCAATTGGCATTTGGAGCTGCTTCTAACCATTTTTGGCAGTAGGATTTCGAGCTGTTCTTCAATTGTTAAGGAACAAGAATATCCTTTTCGAAAAGGGTTTTCGCGTTTAGAATTATTCCATAGTCATGCAATCTGAAAGCAAAAAGTACGCTTTGACACATCTTTTCGAAGAGTTTAAGTGTGTTGAGTTAAGCATCTCACGCTAACTACTGCACGAAATGAAGCTACAATTAGAGATGGGCAAAATGCCCATGGGTTTGGGTAATCGCGATTATCTGTTCATTTAAAGTTCATGATTATGGTTATGGGTAACCGTTTAGACGAACAAACGGTTAGGGCTATAACCGTTTATCTGTGAAATTTAAATGAACGGTTATAGGTATTACCCATGGTTATAACAGGTATTCATTGGTTATGGTTATTACCTCGCCAAACTTAAAGTCTCAAATCCCTAATTTAATTTAATATATGTAAAATTACAAAAAAAAAAATTAAAATTAAAAACCCTAAATTTTCAATCTCTTCGCCAAACTTAAAGTCTCAAATGCTTGTTCTCCACTCATCTCTCCCTCCTTGCTGCCATCTCTCTCATCTCCGAACCTGAAAGTTTCGGCTTGCGATTCGGCCACATCTTTAAAAATGTTCGTTGATCCTGAACCGACAGAATATTATTATAGATATATATATAGATATATATATAATATATATATATATATATAATATAATAACATAGGCATATATAAAATTAGAAGGCATACATGATATTGAAGCAGTAAACTCTATATATTTTATACACACACACACACATTGAAGCAGTAAACAAAATTTTAAAAGGTATTTCGGGTTTAATACAGCTCTTCCAAGCAACTCTGCCCTCTCTTGCTTCTGTCACCCTCTTCTGATTTCTCGCATCCTATCCAAATTATCTTTCAAAGACAGAGACTATAACGGTGTTTAATTGTCAGAAAACGAAAATTATGATATATTTTACTTTTGTAATTTTCAAGATGTTAAAAAAAAAAACATGTAGAGGGTGAAAAAGGGGTAAATGGGTAAAAAAATGGATAAATGGGTTCAAAAATAGGTAAATTGGTAAACGGTTATTGTTAAATGGGTACACGGTTATGAGTATGGTTAACCGTTTATAAACGGTTATGGGTATGAGTATAACCACTTATGCAATTACCCAACGGGTAAACGGTTATTCATGTATGAACATAAACGGTTATGGGTAAATAACCACAGTTATCTGTCCGCCATAACCGTTGCCCATCCTTAGCTACAATCGATGCAGTTCATAGTTTCAAGTTGATCGTGAGGTAAAGGAGTTAAAATTACTGCAATGTGGTTTCCCATATTTTCCAATATATCTTCTGCTAAAAGATTTTCATTCAAAGAAAAGTTTCTGAAGTATTTTATTCAATCATTTTCTCTCCATCTTCACACACAAAGAAACCAAAGATGGAGCATGGACAAAGCATTTGCAACACCAGGGGTAATGATCAAAGAGGCAGCTTCGATGCGAGAACACGCCTTCCTTCTGCATCCTGATCTGATTACTCGGTATAAGGAACAGCAGTCCTCTGCGTACCAACCGGGCCTGCATTCATATCCTCCCAAACAAGATCTGAGAGTGCCATTGTCAATTCTCCCACCTTTCCTGTTACACAAAAGTTACAACAAATCAGCAATCCATTGTAAGAATATAAATATTGCTGCATCGGAAAAGCAGGGTGGCAACTGATTTTACGACACAAAAAAAGTAGGGAGCCTCAGTATGAAAGCCCTACATTCATTTAAAGTTGATAAAAAGTTTAAGAGCACGTCGTTCGTTACCATCTCCAATAGGTTGTTCATCCCACGCGATAATTGGCAAAACAGGAAGTGTGCTTCCTACATACATCATTTCAGCTGAGTTTTTGGCTTCTTCCACAGTTAGATTTGCAGTCCTTATAGCTTTAAGGCGCCCCTGCTCAACCAACTTCGGTGCTAGTTCAAGCATCCTTAGCACGGTGCACCCACTAAGGATCTTATCGAAGAAGGGCACTACAAGCTCCTTGTCATGAGTTATAAAAGCGACATTCACATTTGGACCTTCTGCTATGTAACCTTCCTCATCAACCCATATGGAAGCATTTGCTCCCTTCTCTTCGGCTTCCAATTTTGCAAGGACATTTGGAAGGTAGTTCACATTCTTCATTGTTGCAAACTCAGGTGATTTCATGGGAATGGTGGATGTGATAACTTTAACCCCTTCTTTGCACTGAGAAAAGTCCTCGTCAATTACTACTGCATAGAAAGCGGGTGTTGGCAGGTCTGTAGGAGAGAGCAAGAAGTTTCCGGGACCTGCACTCAGCCAATATCTCAGAGTTCCTTTCTTGATCTGTGATACTGCAGCCAGTTGCACAAGAATGGTTCGAAGAGTTGATTGAGGGAAAGGAGAGGAGATCTTCGCTTTTGAAGATGATCTTAGGAAGCGGTTTAGGTGGACATCAAGTTCATAGATGAATCTGCAGGAATCAGAACTCAAATCAATAACTCAAACTCTATGCCTTATTGGATGTGACAAAAGAACAAAACTCCGAAGCCTATAGTATACTTGAATGAAACCTTACAACAAAAGTGTTGCAAAATATAAGCTATAAAGCTGGTGAACCAAAGAGGAAAATCTAAAGATGCCTACCCATTTAAGATAACCGCTGTGTCAAACACACCATGGCCTCGATGAACCATGTGATCGTCAATTGGAATCACCATCAAAGCTGGATCAAGAATAATTCCACCATAAGTGCTCGAGAACATGGCTGCGTATGGTTTCTTTTCAACTTGGCTCCACTTGTCATGCAGCTTTTCAAGCAACTGGTTGATAAAACACCATCAAATTAGAAAGTTCGGAGTTAGACAGGCATAGTCTTCTATTTTCTCTCAAATCAAATAAAAAACTCATTGGCGCTAAGCGTGAGGGAATGCTAGACATTTGGTAATTTCCCCTCCGACCAGAATATTTATGGAGTAGAATGACAGGTTTAGATTCGGCCATAAGAAGGAAATTTAAGCAATGAGCATCAATCTCACAAAAGAAAACGGCGTAATTGTATCAATTTATACTTAAGTAACAAGCCATTGATCTTAGAATGCAACTATCTAAGAATCTCTCAAGCTCTCAACTCAGTTCTTTCGAACTCAACTCGTGCTCGCACGCATACACTAAAGATAATTTGAAACCAAGTTACAAAACAACTGTCCTGTATAATTGTATGCATAACACATTTAGACCAGTCTTTGTGTTTCTAACAGCGAACACTGAAGAATTCAAGGCTATAGGAAATTAACAAGGTTCACAATTTACATGGCTGAAATAAACCATGGCAGCCTGTGATATAAAAAAAAAGGGGGTTTCGAGTTCTCACCTCGGATGATGATTTGAACACATGAACTTTGAAATCATTGACATCTCCAGCCTCCAATGTATCTTCACAACAACAGCAGCAAGAAGTTCATCAACAGTCAAAGCACCAATTATGTTTACGGATCACCATGATCAGATAATTTACAAATGGAAAAACCCCAAAACACAAAATTAATACACAGAACAGAAGTTCTCACCTGATTTCTTTTCAGAAGAAGAGCTGTGGCTTGCCATGGATTAGCAGAAGCAGAATTAATTACCAGAGTTGATTACAATTAAGCAATAGAGTGAGGAAGAAGGGTGATGGAGGATTAGGGGATATGGAACTGGTTTTATACTGCCATTAATCAACAATTAAAGTTAATTTAGAATGGAAGGGAAGGGAATCCATTTTTGTTTCAACCCTTTGCAAGTTTGCAGTTTGTCTTGCGGTGTTGTGGATTGTATCATACAGTCAACGTTACCACTGACTTTTGTTCTTTGTGCTGTAGCTTTACTTTTGGGAGAGATTCCATGTCCAGGTACCCGTGTGATGATTGCATCAAATTAAGCACTCCTAATAAGTAAATAATATTCTAGTAAAATGAGATTAAGACTTACGAATTTTTCATTGAAGTTAAAAATTTAAGCGGAGTTTCAAATGAATAATGAGTTTTAATTAATAAGACATCTTTTTAGCAGAATCTCGTTCTACTGTAATAAAAACGAGAAGGTATGATTGACATATATACTAAAGGAAAAAAAGAGGAAACAATGAAGTATAAAAGATCTTATACGGTGAATACATGGCCTTTGCATCCTTATATTTAGGTTTGGTTTGGTATTAAGGTGATTCTGAAAAAAGTTGGTATAAAAAAAAGCTGGGTGCTGTTTTTGTGTTTGGTAAACATTCAGTTTCAGTTTTTTTTTCACAATTTTGGGTGAAAAAAAGGCAAAAACAAGAAGCTGCAAAACCCAGCTTTGAAAAATTGGTTTTTTTTCATATCTGTTTTACATAAAAATTTACCAAACACTATAATACTGTTTTTTTTTTCTTTTCAAAAGCACTTTTACAAAAAGTTTACCAAACACTCTGCTGCTTTATTTCACAGCTGCTTATTCTTACAGCACAGCAGAAACAATTTTTTTTCAAAGCACAGCAATACCAAACTAAAAAGAAAATTTGCTAAAATGTTGCTTCTTAATTAATGAACATGTATTACTCAATCGCTTATGAGTGGAAGAATGTAAAATCATATTGAGAACATAATAACATAAAATACAATATGTAATGGGTAATTACACGACTAACAACATCAAAACATTTTATGATAAAGCTTCACACATAAGTATTGTATATAATATTCAACATTGCAATCATCATCGATACTAGACACCTCACCTAAAAATCAATAATGCCAAGCCACATAAGTTTTTGTTTTACCACCAATCCACATAAGTTAAAAGCTTTGTTTTACGTTTTAAATCTTATGTTAGAATCATTAATTTTTATGCTCGTTCAAGAGGGTGTTGGCGAGTTCAAATTTCCTACCTTCATTTTGTGTCCAATCTTTTTATATGATCTTTACAAATTACAATTGATTGACAAATATTTATAAACTCAATCCTTTTTAATATTTTTATTATAAATTCAACATACGCCAATTAATAATGGAAAACACGCACAAAATAAGTGCGAAAGATTTGATATCGGTGTTCACATGCAAACTACCTTCTTGGCAACACCATCACTTTGAATCCCTCCCACAAATAAAGACAAATGATTATGTGGAACCCATGAAGGTGCATTGTTTAATAATATGTCCGTACATTTCAGCTTGATTTATGCGCATGCCAGAGCATAAGAAACAAGACAAGTTTGACGGCCATCACATTCATTAGTCAAATCATAAATTTGCTAAAGATGAGAAATAAGACAAGTCTAACTCTAAACGCCATTTGTACTGCAGAAGATGAATTTAGGAACTCCGGGACCTGTAACAAATGTGAACGACTTTTAATCAAATGGCTAAACCATCTTCAAATTTAACAGTAACGTAGGTGAATGCGAAGGAAAAATCGAAAAAATAGAAAGAAAGGTATAGCAAAGGTGAAGGTAGCGTAGTTAGCTAGCATTCCCTTTTACATCTTTAGTTGTTTCAATGGTAAGATAACTTATTGGTATAGTTGTTGAGGCCTTATTTGGTATGAAGGATTGAATTGGAATGGATGAACAACTATTTTCAAGGTATGTTGAAAGAAGAAACGAAAATTGTGTGGCCAACTTGGAGGTACGAGATGGATTACCCACCGAGGCCTAAGAGTTTAGTATTCAATGTTGGAAAAATTAGGGTCTAATTGCTATAATAAATCACATAGAAAATCAAGAAATAATTCATGCAATTATATATCGCAATAATACATACACATGAGTAACCAATGTTAAATGAACATGATATAATGGATCAGAAAAACCTGAAAATATGGTTGAGGCAAGTGTTAAACACTTTGTCATGTCCTTAGGACAAGTTTACGCCTCACTACCGTGCTCATGGTTGATCGGCGCATGTCTTCCAAGATACAACAACCACGTCCTTGTAATAGTAGCACTCCAAATTGCAAGGCTCCATGAACTACGATTGTGTTGAAAACTCTCTCATATGGACTCAATGATACTCTCTAATATTTAGTGCACTCTATATATGATTATGTAAAGAATGAAAGTTCTAATTGCTATATCAGTGATTATAAGGGGCTTCCCTATTTATGGAATGTGAGATACCTCTTTGGAAAACATGTGACTATTTATGAAGAGTCAAAAGTTGCAAGCACTTCATTTAAGTAGACATATCTTTCTACCAAAAGGCTCCACTTATAATTTCCATTCAATGAACAAATTTAATATAATAATAATATTATTAAATTTTCCAACATTCAATACATGTGAGATACGTTCTTAGTATTACAAATGCCAGACCATCAGCAAACAATGATTTCTAGCTGATTTACATATAATTTTGCTATTTCCTGTTGCTGCTATTTGTGTATAAATATATGTAATACATCTATAATTTTCTGGCATGCCTTTGGTAGAAAGACTTTGTCCTCCTCAAGGCTTCTTCAATGGAAGATGGATCAGCAGCAAATGTAACGCGTATCCAACTGGTCAGCCCTACTGCTGTTCCTGCAATACACAAATGTAATCTCCGTTAGTTAGTCAGCGAGATGCTTGTAAACCAGAAAAAAGTCATGGAAAATATGGTTCTGATTGTTCATTAATTTCTAACCTGGAAGAAAGATAACGCTTTCCTCTTTGACGAGCTTGAAACAAAACTCAATATCATCATTGATCTCTTCCAGTAGTGAAAGGTCTAATTTCACCTGCATTACACAGAAAATTAATAAGCAAAGATGTATTAGAATGCTAAGTTCAAAGTATATAAACAAATGTGTTTCCGTTAATTTCTCACCATTACGGCCATGGATCCTTCTGGTTTGCTGGGACAGGTAAGACAAGGGATCTCATTTATCCTATCACAGCAAATGTCTGAGGACTGCTTCAGCAAATAGAGAGTTTTCTTGAAGAAAGCCTCTTCGGTTTGTTGAAGGATGCGAGGAACTGCTGCCTATAACTCACCAGATATGTCATTTGGAAACAGAGACGAAAAATAAGTTAACACCCCGACACAAGTTTAAACATGCAAACCTAATATTGTGTTTTTCAGGTTTTGGTTCCAACTTCCAAATCCTGAGGAGCTGTGAGTAAGTTTTGACATTTAACAGATTTGTATTCGAAATTGTCTTTAATTATACCAATCTGATATGAAATCTAAGAAATAATAGCTTGTGGAAGATTGAGGCCGCGTGTAGAATGATCTAAAGCCAAATAAGGCCACTAATCAAGAACACTAGCATTAACTCGTTTGAGTAATTCAAAGCAAGCATATGAGTAACAAACCTGAATGAAAGTTGCAGGCCCTCCCAAGATGTCAAAATACTTCTTGATGCGCTCAATAACCTACACAGAATTAAAATAGTATATGGAGTTCCTAATCAATAATCGTCATGATTTTTATACTTGCATCATCCACTTTATATATGAAGTTTATATTTCTGAGAATGCTGTGTATGTGTTCGCGCATGTGTGTGAGAGAAAGAGAAAGAGGGAGGAGAACCTTGGGTATTCTAAACATGCCACATGGATCAGTCGTCACAAACCAACCAAGTCGCCATCCAGGAACTATCCATCTCTTTGACAGGGACCCGAGAGTAAGAACCGGAACAGTTGATCCAAAAACTCCCATTGGCACAAATGGTTTATCCCCAAAAGCAAGATGCCCATAAACTTCATCAGCAATTACAGGAATTTGAAGCTTTTTTGCAGTTTCTGCGATCTAAGTGCGATACAAAACAATAGGTTACAACGATATCCAGTGCCAATAACCAAAACAGATCTCTTAGTGTACAATCTTCTGTTCTGATGCCATAACAATACCATAGGACACTAACCTTCTCCAGATGTTGGTAACTGTACACATTCCCACAAGGATTCCCGGGGTTTATAATTACCATTGCAACTGTGTTGTGATCTGCAAGAGCTTCAACAGCATCAAGGTCAACCTCCCATGCATTCTCTTGCAGGAGATTGAAATGTCGAATTTCAAGATGTCTAAAAGCAGAACAAAGTTCATAAATAGGGAAGCATGGCTTTGGAAGCAAGATATTGGCACCGGGGCGAGCAAGCATTGCCAATGCGACATCAATGGCTTGTGTGCAACCAGATGTGACAAAAACATCATCAGATGTTAACTTGTATGGAAGATCACGAGACAGATACTCAGCAATTGCTCTGTCATGAAGTGAAATAGTAAAATTAATAATATCTGTGATGAATATGCATCATGAATATCATTAAATTGAAATACCCCCTCAAGGGAATATGCCCGATGTTTGCTTGCCGTACAAGCCTGCAGTCTATTATCCAACACATGTATCAATTCCGTCACCATTTAAACACCCCATCATCAAGGAAGATAGAGCTTGGCTTTTTGACACTAAACAAGATTTGCATTGTTTAATAATCAGAATATCCCATCATCTATCAAGCTAATTACTCGACGAAACCTTATGAATTCAATCATGTATTCACTGAATAATCCAAAAAGCTTTAAAATGCTATAACCTCATAACTCACAAGGCAAACGTATTGCTCCTCCTCGATTTGTACCACGCCATTAGTAACAAAACACCCTCCACAATCCGATCAGTATATGTAAAGTAAAAAGAGAAGTGAACAGAACTACGAAAGTAGTGCAACTAGAACATTAAAAAATGCAAATTGAAACCAAACGCCATAAACTCCAGGAACCCAGAAACCCAGAACCAGAACCGAATTTGGCAGCATTTAGAATCCTGGACAAGAATTCGATCATAACAAGAAAGAACAAGACAACCAATTTGAATAATTAAACCAACAAAATCCCAGAAAGAAAAACCAAAATTAACAATTTACCTTCTGGTTTGAGGAAGACCAACAGTGGGTGCATAGCCATTGAACTTGTCGGACTGGAGGGCGTCGACTACAGCTTCCTGCGAAACATGCGTCGTGTGGAAGCAAGAGAAGGCAGTCGGGTCGCCCATGCCCAAAGAAATCAGCCGTCTGCCGTCGTTTTCGTCGACATTCTGCAGCAGCAAGCTGAGGATGCCTTTGATGGTGATTGTCGAGCAAGTAGTGTCCACTGGTGCAGCTTGGAGGTTCGAGGTGCGGTTTTCCATGGAGGATTTGTTGGGTTGTCTGGGGGAGGGGTCTTTTGTTTGATCTTGGGGAGGTGGGGTTTTTGGTAGTTTGAGGTCAGAGAAACGCAGGAAATGGAGGAGGGGGTCCGACAAGTGGACTGACTCGGAGGACCTGCATGTCCAAATAAACAACCACATGTGAGGTTTTCAATGCTGTGCACTGAATGAATACAACAAAACATGGCAACTGCTGGATGGAGTTTTAGTTCAACACACTACCAACATGTCACTTTCTTTAACTTCTGGCCTAAATTGCACTAAGGGTTATATGTCAATGTTACTCTTGCGGTGAAAAAAACTTTGGATAACACTCGTGTGGTTAAGTACATTCATCTTTCGTCTAAATTTTGTCCTATTTTACTAAATTTTTCTAAGCGTACAAACCTTAAAAAACTCGACCATACGAGTAGACAAATTGAAAATATATGGGTTAGGATTGAAGGATCCGAGGGACAATCATATTGAAATTTTTTTTATGGTTCTCATTTCGTAACTTCTTTCAAGGATCCGAATTGTCTATATTTTAACTCATCATTCATAGGTCATTCTTGCAAAAAACTACGATAAATTCAAAACTATTCAGACATTCATTTGTAGTGAAGAAAATGGAAGAAGACGGTTTTGCAAGGAGATACTCATTAATCCAACAGTCAGATTATTTTAAATATGAGTACTTTTTTTGTAGACATTGTCTTTGAGAGAATACCTAAAAAAATAAATGGTTCGTTTGTTGAAATACATCACGGAGTCGCTCAACAAAAGTGTGTCAAAAAATGTGTATGTACACCGATCCTAACTACTATATATATATATATATTGACCTCTAAAAGATAAAAAATACATACTAGAAAATTCTCACAAACAGTTAATTTTAGCAAGTAACGCGCATATTAGTCTGAATTGGAAGTACAATTGGGTGAGCAAATTTAGGTTTAGCTAAGTTGGCTAGAGCAGTGTGCTTCACACTTATGCACCACAACAAACTCGAATTCTTAGATGAATTAATGTAATTATTCTATCATTGTAGAAAAAAGTAAATTTGAATGAAAGGTTGATTTGGACTAAGATACTCAAATTCATTAACCAGCCTAGACCTAGTTTGGAGTTGCTTAGGAACCATGTTATTCCTATGAAAACGAAATAAATCTTTTTTTCTATGCATCACGCGAAAATCATAATTTTTGGGTCCCTTAAGACAATTTACTGTCTAGATTGTGGCCATTTTCTTGGTTACCAAACAAACATTAAGCGTAGCCAAGTATAACGATGACGTATTCCATCTGAATTGAAATTTTCCTAAACTCCTACAAGGTGACAAAAGCTGTCACATACAAACATCTTGTATTGGTTTTGGAATTCTTTTCCTAAACCATGTTTACAAATTGCTAGTTGATTTGAATGATTGTCCTTCCACGAAATAGGCTGTGTATACACGTGTAATTCGATTGAAAACGCGACCTGTACCAAACTCACACCATATCCAATTATGTAGCTATTAAATGAGGTTGTTGGTAGTTATCTTCACGTGTCATTTTTCTTTCTCTCCTTATGAAAGTTTTGTTGGAGGATGTATTTTGAGATGAGATGGAAAACTCTAGTACGGCAAAAAAAAAAAAAAAAAAAAGCATAAAAATTGATGATTGATTTATTACTTAAATATTAATAAACGTATTTATTTTTATTGGTGATATATTATTAGTTTGTAAATTTTGTCTCTAAATTTAGTCTTCTAGCATTACCCAAAAAATAACATTCTCCCAAATGTTACATTGGATTTTTGTTTTGTATGGTTTTTTTGTTTGTTTTTGGTTTTGGTTGGAGAAATTTTATCCAACAAAGACAAGAGAGCCCCATAAGGAGGAGAAACGTATAATTAAGAGGAAATTGTTAGAGGTGCTATATTATACAGAGTGTGCTACAATTATTTTGTATTTGTAATATTATTTGTATTATCTTTTCAATAGTAAGACTTATCAAAACATGTGAATTTCATCTCTATTAGAAAAATAATACAAATGATGATACGAATAACTAATAAAAATAACATTTTTATGATTGTCTGCCCTTCCCATCCCCTCCTATATTCTGTGGTCACAGTTAAGCCACGTTAACATTTTATATTAATTTTTTATATAAAAATAATGAGATAAAAAGTAATGAGAATATAAAATATTGACATGGTTTAACCATGATTATAGAAATAGGAGGGGATGAGAAATGTATGGGACGTGGAGGGCAGACAATTCAAGTAAACTTTGTCTTCCAGACCACCTTGTATTTTGGGTCAATTCCTCCATACCGCCTATGGCTACTTTCTTCTTATCCTATCACAAACAGGTTTTTCTAGGAAATTGGGTTTTAATAGCGACACAAGTGGCTCGACAAAAGTGTCACACACAGCCCGTTAGAATCGAAATGACTCGCAATGTTTTCTTATATAAATATCACTTAAAATTATGATTTAGTTTTTATTTTTACTAGATGTCTTAGGTTTAAATTTCGATGAACTCAAAATTATTATTATCCACAAAATTCAAATCTGATCTATCACTTATAAGTGAAGAAGAATAAATAATTTTATTAACATTTCCTTAAAAGCACAAAATAACTCTTCAACGACAAAAAATTGGAAAGATGTGTGAATAGAAGGACGCCATTTGTTTTTGGAAAACGGGTGTGCGATGGATTCACACCTCCCCTCCCTCATTTGTTTTTGAAAAATGCATGGTTCATGGTTGGAAAATGGAAGTGCGCCTTCCAATGTTGTCTCTATATCTCAAACCCTAAACTAAATCCTATTCATTTTATAATTCAAAATACATCATTGAAGTCTCTTAACAAAGGATAATACCAGAAAGTAAAAAAACACTTAAGTAGAAATAAAACAGAAGAAAAAAGGGGAAAAAAATGTTACCAGCAGATCGTGAGCAGAAGAAATGATGGAGATATGCATGAAGTTCTCTTACGTGCATGTGAAACTTGCTTCCTGATGAGTGATAGTGATATATACACACACACACACACACACACACACACACACACACACACACATATATATATATATATATATATATATATAAGTCTCCTCCCAAAGTCGTGGAATGTTATCTCATATTTATAAGATAATATGTAATGCGGTTGCTTTCAATTTCTAATCTTTAAGATAAGCTCAAAGATTCGTCGATTTGTTATCTTTTGTGGAAAAGAGTAGAAGACTAGCACGTCTATCCAACTGGGAAGAAGCAATCGGATGGGCTCTTGCTCATGGAAAGCTATCTTCATCTGTCGGTTTTGAACGGTCAACTCAAACTAAGAAGAGAAAAGATTCTTAGGTTTAATTTCATTCGAAGATTATTTTTCCAACAATCAACTAAATCGGAAAGTTGTATGACCATTAGATTAAATAGTAGTTGTTTTAGATTTTTTTTTTTAGAATTGTATTCGTCTAGTATTTTCGCTGCAAATGATTGTATTAACGATTTTGAATTTATCAAATTTTTTTGCAAATATAATCTTTGAACAATGAATTAAAATAAAGTTCACAATAACAGTGTATCACATTATGTCATAAATAAGTAAAAATACTGAGCATGTTAAAGAAAAAGAATTTACGATATCGTTTCTGTCGAATAATACTAGCAAGTGGTCGGTAGACCTGGCAATTAGCTTCCAAAAATTCAATATACGAGTGGAGGCTTAACATCCCGTGTTGATAACGATTAAACTTATCAGCGATCAGTTAGCAATGACGGGCGTTGGGTGAGTGCCATAGGAACAGGGGCCATCTCAAAGGGCCACCCAACTTTTTATTTTATTCTTTTCAAAACTAACTACAATATTTACATGTTCTTAATAAAATTACCATTTGACGATCATACAAAATTTATATTACGTATTTAATATAATTATTATCTGACTGTTGATTGTATTAAATCTAAGTATTGTACTGTAGTCATACCTTATAATTATACTTTCTTTTTTACTTGATTAAAAACATTTAAACATCCTACATAATTTTTACATCAGCTGACTCGCAGCCAAGCATCAACCATATTGGGCCTGTAGCCCACATCAGCCCCAGTTTTGGGTCATGACTTATTTTCTTCACATAGGGTACCGAAGCTACCCCTCATTCACTATATTGTGCATGTGTTTGCTTGTAGGTACCCACGAACTTGAATTTCATATTTTAAATTTGAACTTAAAGTTTCAAAAATAATGAGAAATCCGAAGTTTCATAAAATAATACACCCATGAAACTTGCAATTTTTCATCTTACAATTAAACTAAAACGTGTCTAATATAACTCAAACGTTCTACCTTTTGACTATGGATGTTTTTCCGTAGCACTAACCATAATCTTGTTCACTTTGTTACAACGACATGTCGAACCTTAACAAACTCAACTTTACCGTTTTGGAGGTCTCTGAAAAAAAAAAAAAAAAAAACCTACTTGAAAAGGGTCCGAGATGTGAAGCTCCACCTTACCATAAAGAGTCTGAGAGCCACTATTGAAGTTGAAAGGAACACTCCAGTTGGTGAAGCAAACAAAGTTACTACTATGATCTTCATTCGAAGGCATATGCATGATGCAAATGTAGACTGAGTGACTCACTAAAAAGGATTCCCGAGCTTTATGCCTTGTTATGGAAGAATGTTTCGATCACTGAAAGATGATCTTTTTGCCTGAAGCAAGAAACGAGTGGCAAAACTTGTGTTTCCAAGACTGTAAGTCAGTGAATGAATACAATATTGAAAGTATGTCGAACTCGATCACTCCTCAAATTCTGCAACGTGGAGAGGATCTTCAATTCAACACATAAATCAACATTCTACATGAAACGTCTCATACCTTTTGAGAAAACTAACTTGTTCACTAACCGTCAGCACAAATTTCAACTACGTAGACGGGTTTGGGTTGGCAGTCGATGGATGACGATTAATTGGATATATGGGATTTTCCATAAGCAATCAGCAAAGATGATTGACTGGATAAACAGGATTTTCTAGAAGCAACCAGCAAAGGCGACTGACTGGATAGAAGGGTCGGAGT